AATGTCTGACCTTTGACATTTTCCTTTTAAACAAAAAATGAGAAAAATAAGGGATATGTTAGCCTGTTTAAAATAATACACGTTTCGATTTTGTTTTGTCCTTTTAATCCGGTAAAATAACAAACATGTGTAAGAGTGTGTCCATAGGTAGATGTTCAGAATTAACAAAAATATTCAGAATTAACTAAAATTTCTTGCTGATAGAAAATGAATAATAATGAAATAATTCAACAATTATTTTTAAAACATATTTCAAAAATAATTAAAACAATAAATTATAACAATTATTAAAATTAACTTAAATAATAATTTTTAATCTTCTTACTAACAATGTGGTTTCCAAAGGAAATAGAATATTTTTGGTATGACCAACGTTTTACTAACAATTTGATTTCCAAAGCAAATATGATATTTTTGGTAAAATCAATGTCTTTTATTGAAAATAAAACCTTCTAACTCAATACAGCAATTTGCACGACTTAGAAGGAAGTCGTATAAGTGTTATATATCCTTAGATATCAATGCAAGTCTTTTCGATGACTTCCATGCCCACAAACCGTTGAAGAGAAAAGTCGCTAGGTGATAAACGAAGAGTTGTTACTCTTTCCGTATAGACTGATAGATCATTATAGATCGATAAATAGCATATTATTGTGCAAAAAATTCCAATTTTTTACCGAAAACTTCATATATGATGCACCAAATGTTTCAAAATACTTTTTAATCCAGTGGAACGAACTCTGCCCTTTACAATGCGCTTAGAATCGTAATAGCATGAAAAGTGTTTTAACTTTTGCCTTTTTTGAACAAAATTTTTGTAGATTTTAACTTGCTTAGCACCTTGCATATATAACTTTGGTCAAAGAATCTATAGTACTATAGATTCTTTGCTTAAAGTATAATCTAATTTTTTCACATCCTTAATTTAAAGAATTTTTTTTTTCCTTTGTTTCATTATCATCATAAAAAATATATTGTGTTATTTGCTTATTTATAATTTAATATATTGTATTATTGTGGTTTTAGAATAGGACACGAATTCCTGCACAACACGCAGTATTTTCAAATGTAAAATTTTGCTATTATTATTTAATTTACTAAGTAGTACATCGCCTTACACGTATTCACCAGTAGAACAATAATTACATGCTTTGAACCAGAATTTTTCATTAATGCTCAAGGAATGTCCTTACATTTTCTTTTTATTTATAAATGGGCATTTTTTAAATGCCCATTTTATATTTGATCTAAATACAGTATGTAACTATATGTGCGTACGTATATACATACATATATATAGTGCTCTGTGTGTTTCTTGTTTATAAAAAAAATTCAGAGTACTATTTATGAAAAAATGTTTCGATGTAAGATATTATTCAAAAGAGAGAATTTAATAATGTTCCTATCAGTATATATGTTAGTGACTACAGTTAAGAACTCCACAGTAGTTAAGAACTCCACAGATTATTAAAAGCGTTCGTAATTGTTCATATCCTGAAATCGTGACAATTTAAACAGTTTTTAAACAAGAAAATAAATTTACTTTGGCAAAGCAAGTCAAACAACAATATTAAACTTCATTTTTTTAATTTACTTACATAATAAAAATTTATTTTGCTCGTCATTGGTGGCATTATGTTTATTACAAATCTTCGATAGAGCTTTATAGGCTGTATTATTGTTTATATTTAAAGAAATATCCATTCATCAGGCCGCATAAACCATGAATTTTTATCGAAATTATGGACTCTTTAGTCGTTTTAGTCAACAAAAAAAATTATAACAGATTTCTCAAATTTAATAGATCTGAACTAAAAGTAATAACTGGTTTCCAAGATAGACACGTTTCTATTAACTGTAAACTGTAAAACCTGCAATCATCTTATTAATATCATCACGTCATATTATTATCAGGGAAAAGATCTCCTACTTAAATCTGTTTTTTTTAACCGAATAAATCTGTTTTTAAACCGAACTTTATTGGTAGGTTGATCAATTTGACTTCATTTGTTCACATTAGCTTAATAGACCAAGAGTAGCACAATAAACATTATATGTCACTGCACCATATAGCTTCTAATAATAATACCACATCATATACAATGAGTGTACAATTCTGGTACAGGTAGCAGTTAATATTAAAATTTTACTAATATATTAATAAATTATCATAGCTAAAAATAGCTACTATATTTCCATTCGGTGATAATGAAATTGAAACAATTAATATCCAAATCTTCTACTGCTAATTTCGTCCAGCATTCGATTTGCAGACGTGTGTTTAAAAACCAAATGTCGAATCTTCAGCTGGGATAGAGAACAGCTTGTGGCCATTTAAACGATAACGGACGGCTGAGAATTTAGAATTCTAACTAAGTCAGTTTGAAATTGATTTTGAAAGCTTTACAGTACAAATATTCGAACTGAAATTTAGCACATATTTCTTCATAAACCAGATAATTGCTAGTATTTGTGAAATGAGTGGATTTTCTAATTATTTCTAAAAGAAATATTTAACTGGATATACTACACCACTCTAAAAAGATGGGCTTAAGACTGCCATTCTAACCTAACGTCTTCTATGGAATATAAGTTATGTTTTCAAGACAGATGTTCTAATATAAATTTCTTATCAAATCAATATATATAATATGCTATGGATATATAAAAGTCTTTAACCACAATAGATCTTTAATAACCTTTTAGACATTAGCGTCATTAAGGCATTAACCTTAATGAAATTGCATATATATATATTTCATTTTTTAGTATATTAGATAAATGGTTTATAAAATTATTTTCATACATGAAAATAGTTCGTTCCTTACTCGAAGTGTTATTATATTATATTTTGTGTACATATATGTAGTTTTATATAATATAACAAGAGCTGAAATACTTAATAAATAAAGATAACTATATATATATGTCATGAGCACTTAAATTAGAAGTATATATTTTGAATTTCTCCGATAAAGCAACAAATTGTGATAAGTAAAATTATTTAAAAATATGCTAAGCATATTTACAAAAGATAATGGTTTCAAGTACGGCAGGGTCTACGTTCCGGAGCCACTTGTCGCCAGTGACGACCAAGGGCCGTTTAACACCTACCAAAGTGATTTTACAAGGACATCCCAGCGGGTTGCAACAACCACAACAATAACAAAATATAATAACTAAGGATTGTTTGGTGACAAAGTTACACTTACAACTACTATCACTCTTTATAAGAAAGATGGTTCCCAACACAAAGAAATAGAAAGTTCGAATAATTTACTAAAAATGAAAGAACTTTATGACATTTTACAGCTATAAATAGATTTATATAATTTTTAAAGTAATTTCTAATGAAAAATGATAAGCAACAATTAAAAAAGAATGACTTCGGTTTACATTAAAATTATTTTAATTTATTTTTTATTTCTTGAAATTATTTTTTCTTTTATTTACTTTGTTTAAACTTATTATGTATTTTATTCATTTAATTATACTTAATAAATTACTTTCACAATGTATTTTTATATTACTAAATTGTATGTTAGTAATTAAACCTATTCATTTCATATTTTATCGACATACATATCAAAATTAAGTAACATTATATACAAAAATAAATTACAAATTCATTTTTATTTGCTAGTAATTTTAATTTGTATGAATACATTTATGAAACGTATATGAAATAAAAGTTCAATTTTTTTAATACAATTAAAGACTAGTCTTTTTTTTTTTATTTAAAAAATTAATTTTTATAAATATAATAAATTAGCTAATAATTTAAATCTATTTTGCTTTATTAACTAGCTTCTTTTTTAGCTTTGAATTCATGCTAAATCAACAGAACACAGAATGCTGTAGAACAATTTAAAAATGATTGCTATTCTATACTCAAATAATATGCCAAACAGTCTAAAAATTGCATACGTAACTTAATACAATACTTATTCTTTGATTACGAACCGTTTCGTCTTCTTATTTGGTTTTTTATGAATACGCTTATGATAGCTTTGCGCCAATGAATTAATTATCGAAACAATAAAATACATAATCATAATAACAACAAAACATTCAAATATCTTTGACAACAGATTTCCTGATTCGGTTTGTGGCTTATTTTTTTGTCGATGTAAGCGTAATTTTTGATTATTTAAAAAACCTTTAAAAGGCTCTTGTAATTTTTTACCGAAAAATGGTATTGAACCCATTAAGTCGACGGCACGCTCAATAAGCGTCTCATTGAATGCTATTATAACGAATATCTTTTGTATATGCATTTTAATTATTGCTTTACCAATTAACGTAGCACCGAAGAAGGTCCAAAATGGCACCAAAAAATGCCCACATGTAATTCCAGCTAAATCAAAAAGTGGATTGGGAATCTGTATAAAGAAAAAACCTCATTATAAATGTTTTTTTTTTTTTCAATTTTTAAGTAAACTTACACTTGCACATGCTAATATACCAAAAAAGCCAATCCGTTCTACAACTCTTTCCATGAACAATTTGCCTCTATCAACTATGCCTAAATTCTTTTGATTACGTTTTGCTTTAAGTGCTTCGAATTCTGCTAATTCCTCTGCATCATCAGGATCGTAACCAGAGAGGCGAGCAGCTTTAGCCATAAAATACGGCGGTAATTCACCAAGCGCGGTGCCGGCACCCCAAAGAAACGCTTCTAATCTTACTTTAGACATAATTGTCCAAAGATTTGGTACTTTTTGCGTATAAGGTTCTTCTGGACATATAATACTAAAATAAAAATAAAAATAAAAATAAAAATTAATATAACTAAATTACAATTTTTTAATTTTACAATTCACTCACTCATCAGGATAAGGGGGACTTGGAAATTTTAACGAATTACATTCATATGCTGCTAAAGTCACACTTGCAATATGTGGACCCAAATACAATAAAAACGTATGAAGTCCAGTACCTAAGCCCACAGATGATAATACTCCTAAACCAATCCAATACACAAAAAAAACTGTGTTTTTACGTATTATATCTAAAACGACTTGATGTGGCCCAGGAGTGTAGTAGAGTATACTTAAAACTGCAAAAAATACTACAAACAAAGCAACCAGCGCCCTTTGTTGTAATAATCTAGAAATAAAATATATAGTTATATATTTTGTATTAAATATATATCTAGGTATATAATGTATTTGTGTATATGTAAGAATTTACTTTTGGGATGTAGTTTTTATCAATGTAATAAGTTCTAATGCAGAAAATTTAAGAGTGTCTATCGGTTTACGCCAAAGCACCAACAGTTCTCGCTCCGCGCGCTCTTTTTCTTTTTGGGTATTTGGTTTTTTACGTGATTGATTGGGTATAATCGACATAGTATTATTCTTATGGGGACCATCACCAATAGTCTTTTTATTGCGTTCGTTTTGGGTTGATGTTGATTTCTGTTTTACGTTTTCCGCATTCTGTTGATGCTGCTGCTGCCTACGATTACGACTTTGTGACATTTATATTTTTCGAAAAATTAAAACTATCCCTGCAATAGAAAAATAAAAAGAAATCAATTAATATTTTAAAATAATAAAAAAAAAGAAAACGAAAACGAAAACGAAAACAACAACAAAGTATAACAGTATATTAGCAGACAAGAAGGTCGTTCAACTTTAATATTTTGATTTGTTATTGTATCTATGTTCTTATCAAAATTTGATTAAATCATGTCAACTCAAAAATGTACAATATATAAAAATTTAAAGAAATATTAATATAAAATAAAATTATAGTTAAAGATAAAGAATCGTACTTTAAACATCTTGCTACATTTTTTTATTTATATAATGTAATTTCACCTGTTTTTCAAATAATTTTTTTTTATTTTACTGAAAACATTTATGTGCGTTAGAATATATGCAGTTAATTGCAGTATCAGTCATTTAGTTTAACATTTTTCAATGCTCATGAAAAACCTTTTTAATACATGGCCTTGCTTAATAAGCATTTAATATATTTCTTTGTTAAGAATAAGAGTTTTTTGTCAATAATTGCGAATACAACTTTGAACACTGAACAAAAACAAAAGCATGTAGCACGTTTGATAATCATGCGATTGAGAAGCACCAATGAAATGAAACCACACATACTTTTGTTTACAGCAAAACAAGAACAACTTCATGAAACCAAAATAACATTAAATGGTGCTACTTAAAGCTGACAGGTCGTCCAGAATTTATTTAATGACCCATGAAGGTTAAAATAATAGATTTTTGTTTTATTTTATTAAAGATAAAAGTTTGTTTAGATAAAAGTTAGTCAATAATTCTGCACATAATTTGCAGTGTATACTTAGTTAACTTAGTGGCATGAAAAAAGATATACTGAACTATGTGTTTATATTCTGCAAAAATTATTAATAAAAAGCGGGTCAATTTACACTTAATTTTTTTTATTTTCCCAAAAAAAAAAATGTTTTTAAATATAAAAACTCTGTTACACAATCTTTAATTCAGAAGTATAATTCATATAATTTAATTAAATTAAGTCACTATTTTAACAAAAAAAAATCAATCGTACTCACAATGTAACAAGATGTTTTGAATGACTATTTTAACTTAAATTAAATAGAACAAATACACTTGTAACCACTTACACTTACCTAATTTTTAACACTTATTTACTCTTTTAATTATTTATCAGTTAACAATGACTTTTAAAAATTCTAAATCTACTCTGAACGGTGCCGCAGATCTACCAGCAGAATAAAGTACATGAAAAATGTTTGACGTTTATAAAGTTTTTCTAAAACCTGACACATTATAAAGAGGTATGTTTAATCATTGCCGACTAATTACATGTGTACCCTGTACACATTATCAAGCAGTATATAAAATACTAGGGTTCCTAACATACATAAAGCTTTAAGAACCAAATATATTTGAATTGATAAGAAATTACTTGATGCTCCATAATAATTAAAATTTTACTTTTAAAGCTTAAATATTATTGTTTTATCAATGATTGTTAGAGAAAACAGTATATAGTGTTTTTGGACTAAGTAATTCTATTGATAAACCAATAATTTGTTTTTGTTCGAAGCACCAGACCTAATTGGGTTAAATAAAACACAAATAAAAATACTAAATATATTTTCTGACATTAGTATGGTAGGGTACAAATAGATAAGTGGATGGTTTCTGTTGTATTTTTAAAAATGGCAGTAAATGTAATGTGTCCAGTTAAAAAGCTAGTAGTTAATCTAAGTTTGAATCCGTTTACAATAAAAGCCCTTGTAAGTATTTTTGCTGTTGAATAAAAGAATCTGTTTATATTGCTTTTTAGTCCTCTGTTATTGGTTTATGATTATATTTCTGTATTTCTGTCACTGCTCTTTCATAATGGAATTTGACGCAAAAAGCTTCCTATGAATGAAGTTAAGTCACTCACTTTGAAAGTTTTTCAACTGTTTCGTTACGGCGTCACTCTCACTCTCTAGACGAATATGAACTAACTCATTGGATTTAGTAAACTTAGAAATTGCCTAATTATTTCAATATGCATATATTAATAATGCTGACGTTTTTGTATCGCCTTATAAAAAATTCTAAAAAGATTGTAGAAAATTTCTTCAATAACAACTATGGGAAACAGCCTCCACATCCAACATAGAAATTCTTCAAAGATTTCAGTGTAAAACTTTACGAGAAATAGTAAATGCTCCATGGTATGTAACTAATATTCAAATCCATCGGGACCTTAGGATAATTCCGGCAAGAGACGATGTAAAAATGGTAGTTAGAAAATACCATGGACGAATACAAATTCATCCCAACATCCTTGCTCCGAATTTAATGTGCCCCTCAAAATATTTTACGAGGCTGAAAAGGAAAACGCCGTTTCAGATATTGTAATAAAAATCTTAATTTATAATAAAAATCTCCCTGCTCTCCGCAGGGAGAACTACCTTAATTGTAAATTATCATGGCTTAAATAGTGTTTATTAAAAAATTGGAAAATGTCACCATGTTATGTGACAGAATACATATTGAATTTCAATTAAATAGAAAAACAAAAAAAAACGTAATATTTCTAATATAATATTTAATTGTATTACCGATTGTACTGTCTATTGAGGCATTTTATAATACAGATTTTAATAGAATGCATTTTTACCGAAAAAACTACGACAAAGTTGTTCTCAGAAACAAATAAATCAAATCTGGGTTCGCATTTAACAAACGCATGAATTGAAAAAACTGATATAATTAAAGTTAAATATTAATGTTTATTCATACATGTTTTTATTTGACACATATTCAATGTCAAGTTAATGCTACAATATTAGTCCTTGCATTTTATTTAGTACTCATCATCAACATTTAAGGTTTTCTGGACCATTATTTATAAAACATTGCAGGCAGAAGATATTATCATAGTTTGATGTTGATTGATATCACTTTGAATAAGTTCCGGATATTGAAATCAGTTTCTATAATAATGATCGCACAATTTACTGTCTTGAATTAAAATCTCAAAATCTTTTTTATTTATTTCAGCTTAATGTGAAAGAAACTATGTGTATACTGTTTTATTATAATATTGAAGGACTGAGCAGTTCTCACCAAAATGACGAACTGATGACGATTTCTTAGCTTTTAGTATTAAGTGGAAACTATTGTTATAGACGATGAAACCATGTATCAATTCTTATATGGTATATGGTTTGTTTGTCATTATTTTTAGTTTATAACGCTAATCTTGTAAGAATAGTGTTTCAAAGATTGATTTAACAACAATTAACACTTAGATCGGAGTTAATTCGAAACCATCATCCTTTCGCCTTATTCATTTTTATCCAAACCACCCCTCCACACCCCAATTTATTTCACGAATATTTTATTTGCAATCCATTCATGTATCTGCTTAGGTTACTAAATCTACTTCATATTTATTACATCGATCACAGACTCTGCAATTTATACATATACATTATATATTAACCATTCTTCTATAGATGTCAATCCAAACACTTATTTTTAATTAAGATTGTATTGCATTTTGATTGGATTTTTACGTTTATTATTGAAATAAAACATTCTTTGTGCTGTTAACATGTACAAAATCAATATCTACAATCAATATATTGTTTTGAGGTGTTATATAAACAAAACGGAAATGATTTTATGGAATTATTTTTTAAAACTATAAAATTAATCAAAATGTAAAAATATTTATTTTCATTTAAGTGTAAATTAATAAAAATAAAACAAATAATTATTTTAGACACGAAGCCTAGTTTCTTAAAATTTTATTATAACTATGTATGTAGATTAATTAAAATATTTTTGTCATTACATTATATACTTATAAAAACTGAAAAAGAAAAGAAATATGTATACAATATGTTTTAATTAAATTCAGTTTTTTTATATCTTTCCACAAAATAAAACCCCACACAATTTTATTTCGAGTCCCTAAAGAAATATTTAAGAAAAATTAAATACAATAGAAAAAATGAAATCAAAATGTTATTAAAACTACTGCTAATAAAAATATATATTTAGCAATTTTTTTAAATATTTTATAACTATGTTTTGTAGCATTACTATAATTAAATTAGTTTTTAGTTTTTTTTTATATAATAAATTTAAACACTTTTATTTGTAAATATAATTATTAATTTAATGAAAATTGTAGTAATTTCCTTTTAAGCCATTCTCCACCAATACATTCATCATTAGCCAGCTATCAGTTTTAAGTGAAGTGTTTAATAAATGCTTAAACTTTGCCGTAAACATTTTCATCTGAATAAGCGATATACAAGAAGTAATCCTCTTCATGATGTTCCTAGGAAATTCAATTTTTTTTTTGTTTTTAGTTGAACTTTAAACAGATTTAAATAATATTTTCTACCTGATAAAGGGAACCCATGGTTGCAGATGTTGGTGGAATTACATTGTTAACAAAGAAAAATAAAGCATCTTCGGGGCGCAAATGAATACGTTTACGAATCAAAAAATAAAATTGTCCAACAGTTAAATCAGAAGGAACCAAATATTTTTTCTTATCCAAATCACCAATGCGAGCTTTGGGTGCCTTCTCTACGATGACCTGAAAGTAATAAATCACATGTTAATCATCTTTTGAACTATGTCAATATAAGCAGATCATTATTATTTTCAATTATTTTTATTATAACATAAATATATTTTATTTATAATTTAATATATTTATATATATAATTATAATTTATAATATACAATTTAGATTTTAAGTAAAATTTTATAATTTCTTGTAAGTGCTGTACGAATTGCTTTGAATCAATAATAAATAATAATATTATTATTTCGAATTAGGAATTTTATGTTCTATGACAAGAAATCCATTTTGAAATAAAGTAAAGATATAGTGCGAAAATGTTCAAATCAAAAAAAAAATTTTCATTAAGAGAATTTTTTGGCTAACTAACTACACAGCTGTTTAGATATTGCTAAATATAGTTGTTGTAACCCGTTGGGACCTGTAAGCAGATAGCAAGACGATTACATGAGTGTTGAAGTGGATGGGTAGTGATTGAGGGGAGGAATGAGGATAAGGGGTGTATTGAACATTAACCCGGGTCCAGGGTCCAGTAACCCGGTCAATGAGGTGAGTCCAAAGGTCAATTGGGTGGAAGTTTGTGTGCGTTGGTTTAGTATTGTAACTATCATCATTGGTCTCTGGAGACATCTATTGCTATACAAGTTATATTTTTTCTATAAAATCTATTCTATATAAATATTTCTAAAAGTTTGTAAACACATGGATTATAATCTACCTCTTGTAAATTTGTTATTTAATTTAATTAGAATTTATAGATGATATGATTTAATAATGAAACCTAATAATATTAAGATTAAAATTACAATTTGTACACAAGCATGTGTTAAAACCTTACATATAATAAAAATTATGCTCTTTATATGATAATCTTTTACTAACTACTAGTGCTGATAAAATTTTATCGGCATATAAGTTATAAAAACTTTTATAACCTAAAAAATATAAGATATAAAAAACGATAGATGAAGTATTGATACCTCTAATTGAAGATCTGAAGTACAGCGAGGATTATTGTAAAACATATAATTCCCGCCTGACAACTACAAAACTCATTTTCTTGTGTTGTATGATTGTATCTAAGGCATATAAGATGTGATACATTTGACCTAGTCGTAATAGCATTTATCTCTGCAAAAACAAAACTGTACGTAGTACAAACGTATTTTTGTGTAAGGCACCAGTACTAGTTTATGCATACGCAAAAATTATAAAACCAAATACCAATTATTTACATGATATACTTATTCTAATATGCTTATGTCCATTATGTCTAAACACAATAGATTAAAATTGCAGACGAAACAAATTTTGGAATCTATCAATGTAATTCTTGAAATAAAATTTTAAATTTTAAAATCTTTCGATATTTTTCTACATTATTGCTAATCTGGAGAACAAAGACAGTGTTCTGTATGAATTTATCAATATTAATCCTTAACATTAATCTCGTGTGAGTGTAGTCATTGAAAGAAACATGCGTAAAAAAGTATACACCAAAATGCATATAAAATATCAGTGTGAATATTCATCTCAGGTTGTTTTAATAACCAAAACAAAAAACCTGAGAGTCAATATATAAGTTTATGGATTTTACTATGCATTAATAATTTTAAACAACAATCACTTTACTAACCACTAACTAAATAATAGACATAGGAGTTCGCTAGGGACTCGATAGGATCAATGCGTGTACAGCTAATATACACTTATCTAATACATACATTACAAAGAAACAAACCTGTACATAAAATAAATTTATTTCGTATTTTGAAAATTAAGTTGTCATTTAGAAAAAAAAAATATAATATTGCAATCACTTTTCATGCGTTATAGTTTACGTAAATTATTTGTTGTGAAATGCACAATTTCAAAATCACGTACCTATGTGTGCTTCAAATAGTAATTTTAAAAACGTGATAGTAAAATTATTAGAAATATTTAAAATTTTTAAAAAATACATACTAACATTGACAATAATTCATTTAACTTATAAACGTATAAGATATTCGTGTACTTCAATTAAATAATTATATAATAATAAAAGTAATGCAATATAAACTAGTAATAATGGAGAGATGATAATATTTGAGACATATTAGAATATTTATTAATAAAAAATGTTTTATTCAAAATATTGATAATGTAAAATCACAAACACATTCTTTAACTGTGATAAAAATACATTGCTTAATATTATTATATCGTATTATAAAATTTAATAATAATTAAGGATAGTAATTTTGATCATAAGATACAAATACGACAATATAACCACATTGAGAAAATAATATTAATGCAAAATAATATATTTATGTAATAAAAATAACAATATACATATATTGAAAAACAATATTTTATATATCCAACTATATAAGACTCCAAATTTACAAAAAATCCTATTTTTTTTCAACTCCGGAGACTTTGTTTACTATCCGATTAATCGGATTCTCTGAATACTTCGTAAAACCGAATACGAACAACAGCACTACACAATAGATAAAAATGTATATTAATACATTTCAAACTGTTCATTAAAATTTAGCATGAATCCGTTGCGGTTCGCATGCAGCGCTGCATGCAGAATATCTCATGAATTTGGTCATATGTTCATGCATTTGCATTTTGCATATGCAATTGTCATATTTCGTGTTATAGCGCATATTTTTGTTAAATTGTATAAATATGCTTGTAATACATTTCGACCACTTTCTTATTTGTTTATTGCAATGGCAGCTCTTAAAACTCTTATACTTTCTGAAATTGCCAAGTGAAAGCAGATAAAATTTTTAACATAAAGCAGCATTTATCTATTCAAAAACACGTACCTGCAACAGAATACCGCAAAAAAAACAAGCGAACAAACATTTTTAATTGAATAAAAGACAAAAACTTTAAAGACATTGCATCGAGTAATTTAACAAAGGCGCTTTTAAAGGCTAATATACCTCTGAAAAAGATACCACATCCTAGCCCCAGACAATTTATCGAAACAAACATCCAAATAACACTTTTAAATGAATGAATGCCTGTTACTCCAAAAATGCGTATCGATATATATATACTATTATGCATCAAGTAAGAGAATTAGCTGGAAATTCTCATATATGAGTGGCACTAGATGAAACTACGGACAGGAGTTTCCGTATATTGGTTCATTTTGTATTTGGTGTTATGAGTGGAAATAAAAACACTTAAGGTTATTATTTAATATGTAGGACGGATGATCATTGTTCCTATGTAGGACATGTAGGAATATATAGGACACCAGAATCATTGTTCCTGAACGCAGAAGTCAAATCGGAGTTAGCGTATATTCAAGCAGCTTTTGTTGTGTATAAAAACACAAACAAAATTTAATGCAGTTTAAATACATTGAAACAAATCAACTATGTCATAAAGAAAGATATTACATCAGCAGATGATTTCGTTAATCAATTTTCGCCCAAAGAACTTTTTCCACTGACATCCACAGATGTAGAGTTTTTTTTTCTTAATTTATAAAACATTTTTCACAAAATGTCGCCCATTTTTTCTGTTCCAAAATGTGAAAAACATCTTATTGTTAACTGTTTTGGATAAGTAAGATATAATTTTCAAATGCACATTTTTTAGTTTTTACAATTTATTTTATGCGTTAAAACAGTACTTTTAATAGCATAAAAATATTGGCTCTAGTCATAATATTTATTTAACTAAACAATTACAATACAGGGAAAATATTTTAGTTTGACATCGACAGCATTATGATTGCAGACTAGTTTAATATATTATTGGGATGGTACTTTATCGTGAATGTAATTTTTGAAGAATGCTAGATTCAAAACATTTAGGATTAAATCATCTATTAAGGTATGAAAATTAATATAAAAAAAATTTGAACTTTTAACTTATAAAGTTTGTATATTTTTATTTATTTATTTATAATTTTTTTCACTTTTGAAAATACCAATGTGGCAGTAAAAAAGTTTTTTTTATTTATATTATTTTTATTTATTTAATGGAATTTCTCTATATTTAATAGTCATATTTGTCTATAATTAATCATAATGTTATTTCGTAATTTTATAATATTATTATGTCACAGATTTGGCCAATTACTCAAATAACAAATGAATACCAACTAAATAAAAATTGTATATAAGAGGAAATTGTTTAGAACAAGAATTCAACAAAGTTGTTTGGTTTAGTGAAAATGTATTTCACAATTTGTATTAAAAAATATTATTGTAGATGTGAATACTCAAATTTGCACGAATATTAACAATTTATACCCAAAAATCTTTATAATTTATTGAAAGCAAAAGCAGAAAATCATACCAGAACAATACTATTGACCTCTGCAAGGCCGAACTTTGTGCTTTAGCATAAAAACTAGTTTAATTTTATTTTGTTTTAAATGCAAGAGAGGCTGTAAACTCTAAAAACTAAGCTCTTAAAAGGTTTATGTTTGAGAATAAATATATTTAAACAATTTATTTAACTCTAATTAATCTATTAGTTGTTAAGAACCTGTTATTTTTATAATTTTTTTTTTATTTTTGAACATCATTAAGGTCATATACATATATATAAAAGTGTTTTATCTTTGAGGACAAATATTTTATGATAAATTAGAAATATATTGCATACACAACTGACATAAAAAAAGCTTTCCCATCTACTTTAAACAATTCTTTTTCGTTTATATACAAATCCCATTCTACATTAAAAATAGATTTTTTTTTATAATTTTGTGAAATGCAACTTCTGACTAATGACGACTCGACTCATTAATGATGCAACAATTACTTGTTTGTAGAGGAAAACAAAAAAAAAATAAAATAAAAAGTTTTCAATAGACCACAAACGTATTGAGTATGAACTCTTATTTTTAAAAGAAATAAATTTAACTTAAAAAAAAACAGACAACTAAATGATGAAAGTAGTGAAATTAACTAAAAGGCACCACTGTTTTGTACCTCTTCACTTAGAAATGAAAACAATCTCTTATGATGTAATTAAATATATATATTTAACTACAATAGAACTTAAAAGAGTTTATTAATTTTTATAGTTCTAAACAAATTATCGTTTTATCTCTGTAAGATAGATTGTAAAAAAATTATTAAAACGAAATAACACAATTGAACAAATAATTTACTGATACATAAAAATAATTTTTTTTTAATAAATTTACATATAATATAAAAAAAAACTATTTTGTTTGTTTGAATAAACAATTAATTGATAAACAAGTCAAAAAACAGCTGTTAATGAAAAAAAGTAAGTGTACACATTTACACAAACACAGAACGTTTGCATATGTCCATGTCATTTCGTCCTATTCTTTCTAACAAAAAAAAACAAAAAAAATGAAAATTGGCAAAATATGAAAGAAAATCAGAAGTCTTTAAACTGAAAAGAGATACATACATATATACTATATGCATACAATTACTGTTTTCTATTCCGATAACGAATAAAAACAAAAATGGTGAAATACTTACGAATCGATGAGTAATGGATAGCTTAGTTAATACGAAAGGGGGAAATATTAAAAACAAAAAGAGATTAGTATGTACTCATTAACTTAAAACAATTAATTGTGCGCAAATCACAAAAATTTATTTGAAGTTAAAATAAACAATAATAACTTCTTTGGCTTTTGTTACATAAAATACATTTTAAGCAATATTTTTTATTTCTTTGTTTTTGCACTTATTATTTGCGTCTTTCTTTATAAAAAAAAATAAGGGTTGCCATTTTCAATGCAATATTTTAATTAGTTGAGATGTATATATAATATTGTTATTTAAGCATTTTTTTATTTTTTTCATTTTAAATTATTATAAATCAATTCAAAATTTTACAATTTCTACACCTATTACATTTTATTTTTTTTTTACTAATATTACAAGCGTCAGCTGTAGGCAACACTTATTTCAAAACAAAACACATAAAACAAATACACATTCAACAACAAAAGAAAAAAGCTACAAAAAACCAATATTAAGTAAATATTTTGTAAAAACAATATTTTTGTTTGGCTACTTTTTTAACGACGCAATAGTACATTTTGATAAAATTAAATTTCAAAGTGACCCCCTACCAAAACAAAATGTCTTTCCTGTGATAGACACTTTATACAAAAGTAAAAAAAAATGTCTTCTAAAAATATCGAAAATTTTCCAAAATTAATTTTTAAAAAACTTACAGGTACACGGTCTGGGTACTTCCTACGAATTTTGTCACCTTCAGCACGGCGTTTTTCGAATGGATGTTCTTCTTTATATTGGAATTTCATTATTGTTTGGTTTTAAGCAATTAACAATACAAAAATAAACTTTTTATGAACGAAAACTGTTTCACTTGTGACTTGCTCTTTACCTGACTGCTTTGTTACGATTGAAAACGAATGTTGTCCTCGTTATTGACAGTGTTGTAGAAATGCTTTCAAAAATGTGTAGTAAACGTTAAATACTTTTTCTGTTTTAAAGAACTACTATTTTTTATAAAACGTAAGAAAAACTGTGATTCAGGGTTTTGATTACTTACTAATTATATAAAAGTATTGTAAGTTTTTATTATATTA